GCCTCGGGGACACCTGCAGAGTCCCTGCTGCAGCCGGCGGGTAGGCGCCTGCCCCACCCCCGCCCCGCAAGCGCCCTCCGCTGGCCCGCGCCCCAATCCGCGGGCCCCGGGACTAGTTCAGACAGCGCTGCGGGCCGGGCTGGAATCCCGCGCAGGACCCTGACAGGACCCTGGGGTTCCAGACTCGGCGCAGCCCACAGCTGCCAGAAGGAAGGAGCGGGACTGAGCGCAGCGGACAGAGCCCCGGTCCCCGCCAGGGCGCTGTGCTCACCGTGTCCTGATTCCAGGGCATCTGCGTCCTCACCATGGCTCCCCCCGCAACAGCGATCAGATGAGGACAAGGGACAACCCCGGACTCCGGACCCGACAAGGCACTGGGGAGAAAGTCAAAGATGGTGGGTCAGCTTGTAAAAGCCCGCCCCCTGCCCCTTGTGAGTCTCATTGGACAGTCCTAACAACGGTGCTTCTAATTGGATAGCTCATCAAGCCAGAGCCCTTGAGTGACAGCGATGGCTGGAAGCCACCAGGAAATGAACCAAGAATAAATTCTTTAAAGGGCGTGATGGCGCGCGCCTTTAATACCAGCCCTCGGGAGGCGGAGGAAGGCAGTTCTCGGCCAGATGGAGGTCGGCCTAGTCTACATAGGGAGTTCCAGGCCAGCCGCGGCTACTGGGAGACCCTGTCTCAAGAAACAAACAAAATAGGTTCTTGCCTGTTGTTATTTTAATGCAGGACTTCCTCTGGGATAGCCTTACCCACTGAAAAATGTAATTTATCCTTTTACACATGGCTGTATCCGCTTATGAATTATATTTCACAAATGTAGCAGAGAGGGAACTTGGCCACAGATTCTAATATGGCAGAAATAACGGGGCCTCAGAACAGAGCAGGCCCCTACACTCAGTGTGTCTGATTGGATATTCCTGACAACACTAACTCCAATTGGAAAGCGATTCAGATCCCACCCCCTCAGACCCCTAGCCGGCACCAACCAATGGAATAAAACAATAAGTTCAGGTCCCCGAGATTGTTCAGCCGGTGCACGGGCTTGCTACCAAGGCCCGCGAACCGAGTTGGATCCCTGGACCCCATGGGGTGAAAGGGGAGACCCAACTCGACCAAATTATACTTTGAGCGCCACGCTTGAGCAGTTGCGGGTGCACACAGTTCACACATTAAGCAAACGAGATAAATTAAATGGCAATAGCTTGCCTACAGGCATTTTAAGGCAAGTCCTCCAGGTGATCCTAGCCCCTGTTGAAATTTTTTACTTAACCTTCCATATATGGACTTGCATCATCTTAAGAATTATATGTAAATATTTACGTTATTCAAAATGGAAATATCACAATAATGTATTAAAATTCCCTGTAAAATTGTCTAACTCCATTCTTTTGAGTAGGCAGTGTGAGCTTTGAAACAGGAAGCAATCCCCTAGTCTAATAAAAACAAAATGGGAGGCCAAACTGCACAGTGGCTTTGCTTTTTGATTTTTGAGACCACATCCCATAGGATCAGAAAGTGTAAAACAAATACAATGTGAGTTTGAACTGCACATTTTTTATTGTGACCATATGGTAAGTAGCCCAAGTTGTTTGCCAATGTGTTATGTAGCTGAGGATAGCCTTGAACTTCTGGTCATCCTGCCTTTATCTTTTAAGGACCGGAATTATAGGCATGCACCACTTTTTGCCTGTAAATTTTTAATTAAAATTGTGTTTCCTATAAAAAGCATTGCCCTCAATGAGAGGGAAAGAGGAAGGAGGGACAGCTTCACTCCATTGCCCACATCAGACCAAATCAGGGTTCATGGTGTTGAGGCAGAAAAAAATTTGGGGACTAGAAAGTCTGAAGTAGAGTTGAGGGTTTTGTTTTGGTTGTTTATTTTTTTGTTTGTTTGTTTGTTTTGCTTTTTGAGACAAGGTTTCACTATTGTAACCTGGTTGGCCTGGAACTCATTGCAAAGACCAAGCTAGCCTGTAACATAAGAGATTTACCAGCTTTTGTCTCCAGAGTGTGGGATTTAAAGGTGTATGTCACTATGCCTAGCCTGAATTAAGGTTTTTATTAAAAGATATTTTTAATGTAGATTTTAAGCTTTAAGCAAGAGGATTAAGAGAGAAAAAGAAGCACTCAGAAAGAAAGTTAAGGCACCCAAGAGCATGGGTGTGGACTTTTCTAACAGGGGCTTGTACCTCAGTGTCTTTATAGCAGTCATATATAAGATATGGGTGGGGCTTGAAGCTATTCAAAGGGTGGTCAAGGAACCTAAAAGAGATAACTGGGTAGGTCCTGAGGAATACATGACAGGATTAAAATTGATAAAGGAAAAGTCTCGCACTCCAGGATGCTGGAAAGTAGGCAATCTTTACTGTAAACAAGTTTAGCTATCTTATTTGAGATTCCTAGTAATGTCTGAGGAAAGGAATGAACCCTACCCAAGGCCATATATATTCAGGCTTTTTAAGCCTGGCTCATTGCTCTCTTCAAATAAACTCTGTCCTGCTGAAGAAATGGCTCCATAGTTAAAAAGCACTGGCAGCTCTTGCAGAGGACCTGGGTTTGATTCCCAGCACCCACGTGGCAACTAACAACCTTCATATAACTCCAGTTTCAGGGGAATCCAACACCTTCTTCTAACATCCACGGGCATTACATGACATGGGTGTACTTACACCCATGCAGGCAATACACTAATACATATAAAATAAAAATAATAAAATATTTTTAAATAAATAAAAATAAAAAGTTATACATAAAAGTAATATTGACCCCTGAGGAACAGATCCTCAAATGACCTTAAGTGTAAAAATAAATT